AATAAATTGGCTAAATATGACCATATCAAACTATGGACCACTAGTCTTACTGTGGCAAAACTCTGGGGCTCATTCTGGCTTCTGGAAAAAGTCATGTTAACTGTCTCCTTTTTCCTCTTTACATTTGGGAATATATATCCCCCTACTCCCCATGGTTGTTTGTTATAATATGTATCCTTTTTAAAAAAGATTGTTTTATTATCTATCCACTGTGCAATAAAAGTGATGTGGAATGTACCAGGCTTTTCCTGCTTTTTCTGAAATAAGATTTTTCTAAGATAAATAAACAGGCAACATGAATATGGGGGTGGGAAACACAGATAAGGAGGGTACTTTCAGGGGCTATGATGCAGATGAATTCAATTAAGTCTGGGTGTAAAAGACCATCTTAAGACTACTGATGGAGGCTGTTATACAAGAAAGCCAAACAGAACCAAAAAATGAAAAATGCTCCTGTCACCACATCAGAGGGCAAGGCCCACTGGACTCTCTCTTGCATGTGGGGAAGTGAAAGTAATTTTTTTTCATGCTTTCCTTCCCGGCCTTCAAAGAGCTCCTGTGACTACTTTAACCTCCACTGCCCACATCTTCCTGCTAAGCCTTGTCCCATCTGGCTTTCTGTGGCTTTTTGTTTCTGACAATCACATAAGCTTTTATAATCTCCTATATTACTTTTGAGCTTGTTAAACTACTGCTAGCTCCTAGATTTCTCCTCAACTATCTGCTGCCTTTCCTCACCATTCCCCACCAACATGCACAACACCAGCCAGAACTATTCTAACTAGTCTATGAACACTTTTCTCCAACTTTTTCTTTTGAAAATTCCGAGACATAATTTTTCAACAAAAAGTTGAAAGATTAGTACAATGAGCAAACACATGCATCCTCCACAATGACTGTTAAATATTTTGCCACGTTTTAATTCTTTCTCTCTCCATATATGTATGTGTGTGTACATACACACAACGAATTTAGCAAAATTTTATATAATTTTTTGGCAGAACTATTTGAAGGTTAAGTCATAGATGTAATGGCACTTCATCCCTAAATACCTGAATAGGACATTCTCCTAAGTTAAGAAAGTTTCGCACCTAATAAAACTAACCATGATTCAGTATCATCAGATATCCAGTCCATATTGATATTTCCCAAAGTGTCCTCAAATTTTCTTTTATAGCTTTATTTTTCCAAACCAAAACCCAATCAAGACTTGCCCATTGCATTCAATTGTTATATCTTTTACACCACTCTTTTTAATGACACTGACCTTCTGAAGAATTTAAGCCAGTTTTCTTATGTCCCACATTAGGGGCTGGATCTGATTCTACCCTCAGGGTCATTTTACTTGTTCCTCTACCCCTGAATTTCCTATAAACTGGAAGTTGGGTCAAAAGGCTTGATTATATTTAAGTTAAGCATCCTTGGCAAGGTTCCTTCATAGGTAACGCTGTTACTTCACGTTGCATCAAATCAAGAGGCCTCTAAAGTCAGGTTAGTCTACCATTAGTGGTGCTAAGTGTGAGCACTAGGCTAAGTTGGTGACTGCTGAATTTCTTCATTGTAAGGTATATTTTCCCCTTTATAATTATTAATACATGGAGTGATACTCTGACACTGTGTGAACATCCTCCTTTTCGCTACCTCCTTTTCCAAGATGGGTTTTAGCTTCTCTTGATGACCTTTGCCTGAATTACTGGGGACTGCACAAGGTGATTTTTTCCAATTCCATAATTCCATCTATGTTTATTGGCTGGCATTCATCTATAAAGAAAAAAAATCCCTTCCCCAACCCTTGATTTTGAGTATCACTCTGGACTTATGGATTTTTAAAATGTATTTAATGATTTGACAATCTATCACAGTCATTATTCTTTTTGGTGCCGTGATTGACTCATATTCAGCCAGTGGAGTCCCCTCAAGCTGGGTTGTGTGAACTTTTGACTTGATCCTGTTAGTTTTGGGGCACTTCCTTGTTTTCTGGCAAGATGTTCCAGGCTCATCTTTGTACTATTGTACTTTCCGGGCCTAAGACCCAAAAGCAACCATTTCCCCAAGAAATACTGTTTCTTTTGTGGAGAATTGTATTTATATATCAAGATACGGCACCCTCCACTGGGGTAACATTACTTCTAAGATATATGTGTATATATATTTTTTTTTCCCAAAATTCAAATTTAACATCAGAGGGCTTTTCCCCAAAAAACTTCTTTTTTAAATATATTTTTCTTTCCTCTTATTAGAGTTTTAACTAACAAAATTTATTAATAATTCACTTTATCTAGAGTAGACATAAAATTTTAAAATAACATTACTAATAGTACTATTAGAAATAAATCTGTGATGTTTGAGATTTTTTGTTTTTGTTCTTTCTGCCCTCAGAATACATCCCACTAAGAATGTAGGAGTACTATTAAACACCACTTTCAAATAGATCTAAAGAACTTGATGACTGCCATTTCTGATCCTTGTAGAGCCTAGATTATCATCTTTTTCAAACTAATCCTTTTTTCTTTTTTAAGTGGTACACGTGAAACATACAATAGCTGAAAATGTGCATCCTAAGAATAGAAAGGCAATGCAGATTTCAGTGAACAAATCAGGATTGCTATGACTGGTGAGCACCTGCATCGGTCAGCATTCATTTAAGGTTGTTTTTCCATCAACCTTAAGTGGATGATATAACCTAAGAGTCATCTCAGGATATATTTTCAGGGCACTGTACTGCAAAACACTCAATAGGCAGAAAAAGCCAGTAGCTTGCCCTGCAACAAATCTCCATGCAAACATTCAAAACACCTATTATGACTAAAAAGGTCAAAAGGCATAGATAGTTGTTTTGACTATGTACACATCTCTAATTCATTACCTTAGGCATTTGTACAGATAGCAAAAAAGGTAGGCAAATCTGGGGCTACTTTTAGTCAAGAAGGAATACAATAAAAGCTAAGCTAAAGAATGCAATCTCCCATTTAACCAACATGTACTAGTTTATTCTATACTTTTATGCTCTGCAGTGAGTTGGTACATTTCTAAAGGCAGTGGCTATACTTTAATTATCTTTAGTAGTGAAAGGAAATAGCTGCATATATGACAATGTGGAGTCTCTAAATTTTATGTACTTACTGAGTTCAATAAAATAAATACCAGCTTTAAAGAACTAGAGGTTTTAGATACTGTTCTTTTTGAAGATAAACACGATTAAATTTGAGTGAGAATGTTTTAAGATTTTGACACTTCAAAGGAAGTGGTAAGTCAGAACGCCTGTTTGAAGGAACACTCTTAGTCAAAGCTTGTACTTGCTCCAGCTTTGTCTTTAAAAGCACACAGAATCACAGTGAAAAATAAATGAATACATGTAAAGTGTTTATAATGGTGTCTGGTACACACAACTGTTATCTCTGTGAGAACTAATAACATTCAGTATAACTTTTCTTTCCAAATATAATCTATGTTGCACACAGAGAGAGATTAAAAGCAATCCTGAAAACAAAAGCTATCAGAAAACTATACTGAAGCTTATAAATATTTTCGTGTTTTCTGATGTTGGGGGTTCATTAAGAGTTCTTATTTGAGAAATTTTTAAACAGCTGTAAAGTTTACTTTATATTCATGGAAGATCCTCCTGGCATCAGTTCTTAAAATACACAATTGAAATAAGAGTTGTCAAATACTACATTGTGTTTTTAATAGATTTCTACTATATTAAAGAAAAGTACATCCTCTCTGGTTTGTCTTCCCTCTTAATTCTAGCTACACACTGCTGCCCTCTGCAGCATTTTCCATTCTTGCAAGCTGACTGCCACTCTTAATCATCACAAACCCACCTTAAAGGAGGGCTTTCTTAAGGGTCCAGCTACAGACCCCAATCCTCTAGAGAACGTTCTTTCCTGGCATTCACATAGCCTCTTCGTATCTCAAGCCTTTATCTTTTTTAACTAGTTTTTTTTTTAATTGGAAAAAATTATATACGTATCGTTAAAAGGATAAAAAGGATTATTAGTGAAAACATGTGGTTTCCACTCCAAATCTCTACATAGATTCGTACATCCGTCCATAAATGGTATATATCATTACAAACATACACACAACACGCATTTCTTTTTAAACATAAGTGGACGTATTCACACCACTGCTTATCATTCAAGATTGTAACTTGGAGATTGTCCCCTTTCAGGCGGTATTAACCTATATAACTTAATTAAAACCAGTGAGTGCTAACAAAATAGGTTTTTCTTTTCTTTTTCACGGTACGCATGGCCTTTATTGTTTGCTACAGGAAGTGGAAGAGGCGGGGATGCGACAGCTCCGGCTCCTGGGGCGACTGCACAGATTGGGTCATCGCCCTCGAAAAGTCCAATTAGGTTTTAAATAAACCAATCTACTCTCGAATAGGTTCTGCCACAATCTAATCAGCTTTTTGTTGCCACTAAGACTTTCATTATTCTGTGAAGTGGTGGTTCTCAAACTTGACCAGACATTGGTATCACCTAGAAGGCTTGTTGAGACAGGTTGCTGAGGCCATCCTCAGAGTTTCTGACTCAAAGGTGTGAGGTGGGTGTTGAGAAACCGTATTTATAGTAAATTATTTTTGCAATAAATTACAAATTACTGTAAAAAAAAAAACCACGCAAGGCTGATGCTACCGGGACCACAGTCAGAGAACCAACCGGCAGTATGAATGCTGTATTAAACCCCACTCCTCCCACCACCCAGCACCCTGGGAACCTCAAGAAGTGCCCCACAGCACACAGCCCTGAAGTAACTACCGAACTGACCCCCACACCGAGCCGGAACTAAGATAAAATGAACCTACATCCGGCGCCTGGCGCATACCAGTACGTCATTTCCTTCCTACGAAACCCCGCCCACTTTACTTCCCTAACGTGATTAAGGGCCGGAGCTGGGAATCACGTGAGTCGAGCGACGCCTTGCGAGGATTTTTAACCTCTCGCGAGACTTCACCCGCCTCCTCTATTCCTCCTTCCAGTGCCCGGCTTTAGTCCTCTCCTGCTCGCCGCTGAGCGAGGTATTCTTTTCCAGACCGAGTCGCCTAGTTGTCGCCGCGGAGCTTTTGCTTGCTGCTGCCGCTGTCGCAACCACCACTGGGCTGCTTTGCCGCGACCCCGTCCCGCCGCCACGCCCCCAGCCCCACACAAGGTAACAAACGCGATGAGGGAGAGAGTAAGGCCTCGCCGGGCTTCGGCCTCCCCCTGGTTGAAGCGGAGGCCTGAGGCCGAGGAGCGGGCCGCGCTGGAGAGGCCCGAGCGCCGGCCGGAGTGTCAGGAGCGCCGGCCTCCTCTTCCACCCAGAGTTGAGCCCTGAGCGGCCTCGGACGGGGTTGGGCTAGCCGCGGGAACCCAGCGGGTGGGGTTGGCATTTAAGGGCCGCTCCGGGCTCTTCGGAGCCTGTTTACGGGTGGGGCTCCGGCTCCGGGGGCCTCCGCTGGGTTCGCGTTTTCGGTTTCCCTGGAAGCTGAATTTCGAGGTCTGAAATGGTCGAGCAAGTTGTGGCGGACTTTGAGGTGTTTAGTGACCGAGGGGGAGCAGCCTGGCTTGCTCTAACGCTTTTGGAGTCCTTCCAGGCTGTGGTTGGACGGGGATTGTAAAACAGACGGGTCCTCGGAAACCCCGTATGTTTGCTAATAAAGCGAGAAAGAATTCTCTCCTATCTTACTTTCGGGAGAAGAATGAGCCAGATTTGGTGAAAGCCACGTTCCTTAGATTGCCTAAATAGGAGAGTATCAGTGCTGTTTCTTTCATTGCAGAAAATGCATCGTCAGTATTTAAGTGACTGGGTTTTTGCTCTGGATAAGAGTTTCTAAACGCATTCATACTAATTGAATAGCTCTTGTGGAGAGCTATTTGTGTAGTTAATCCAAAATCAGTTGGAATTGGTTTTGGAAGTATTTTTTAGCGCTTAAAAATCAGAAGCTTCAATTCTTTCAACAGTTTAGTGCCCTTTTTTTTTTTTTTTGGTGACAATATAACAATCCTGTTAATTGAGCCTAACACAGTGCCTTCCCTGTTACAGGACTTTAAAGAAAATTAGAAGTTCTTCTTTTTCCTCTTATCTCTTGTTTTTTGTTCCTATATGGAATTTGTCTGACATGTTTATAATCATCAGAATACTTGAAGTTTGTGTTTGGCTCACAGCTTTTTTCTGAATTGAAAGTAAAGGTAGTAGTGATAAATTACGCTGCAGTGAATTATAATAATGACTTGGGAGCAAAATTGGTTAGGGTTGATTCAGGCAGACAGGGAAAATTATTTTTTATGGTTTGTTTTTTTTTTGTTCCGTTTTCATGGCCTTACTCTTTTTATTTTCTCCAGATGTCAGAGGATCTAGCAAAGCAACTGGCAAGCTACAAAGCTCAACTCCAGCAAGTTGAAGCTGCGCTGTCTGGAAATGGAGAAAACGAAGATTTGCTAAAATTAAAGAAAGATTTGCAAGTAAGTATGAGGGGACACTTACAGTTACATTGCTTGAAAAGAATATTTCTGTGTTTTACAAATGATCTATTGTTAAGAATCTGTGGGAATCCAGAACACCATTTGGAGGGAGTGTTTCACCCCTTGTGTGTACAAGTGTGTACGTACATAGGCATACATGGCTTCTAGGAATAGGGCTGCTTCCTCAGTTTGTGTACATCAAAATGATTGAAGCATTGTTCTTTGTTAACATCAACCTTGTATGCTCATATAGTTTTAAAAAATGAGTTAACATTAGAAGTCATTGTCAAACTTTCTAGAGAAAGAGGTACATACAACTTTACAAGGAATAGCACTTCTGTTTTTAAAGACCTGGAAAAGGAATTTTAGTTCAAAGGGTAACTAAAATTAAAGGAGGAAAATATAACCTGATTAGGATTCTTTTTAATGCCAAAAGATTCTTTGAAAATGAAATAGAACATGCATGCCAGAGATACTGTGTGTGTGTAACAGAGCTAGCTCTAGTGCCTTGTGTTGAAAACACATTATAAAAATACCTGAAGAGATGCTTGTTTTCTGCATAAATGTTATATAATGTTTGAACTTAAGGCTAGGTTTTACATCTAGTTTTTGACACTTGTTAGCAACTTAAAATTAAACCAAATCTATGTGAGAAGGAGATCTTAATTTGTTCTTTTTGTTGTGGAAGGGCAGTAAGTATGAAACCTGCTTTTTAAAACTTGCTCTGGGGTTTCGAGACAAACATAAAGCCATGATAGTAAATATCTGTTATTTCTCAGAACAATAGGTTGATTAATAAAAATACCATATATAATACTTGTAAATATGTATGAGTTTTCATCTTAACAAATTTGTAAACTTAAAATTCTGAACCTGATTTTTTGGAAAGTTTTAAAAGATGATTAGATGGTCTATGTTCACTGATTCAAAACAAAACTTGAATCATCTTCATCCTATCTAAGTAATCCTTTCCCTCCCTTTATATCATCCTCTTGCCCATTAAAATTATTAAATTTTAGGGATATTAGAACTGCAAACAAATGAAACTTACGTGAAATGGGGTCCAGATTCAGGATTCTGAAAGCGCTTACCTGGGCATAATTAAGATGAGTTAAATATTTTTGGGTTCAAATTCTGGATTTAGGATAGACTTTCATGAAGTTGCAATAGTATGTTATTTTTCTAAAAACACAGAAACCAGGGCCTCTTCAATACGTAGAAATCAGGCCAGTGGATTTCAAGGAGCCAGTCAATAAGAAAAAGATGTTTTGGGAGCAGTTTCTCCCACTCTCAGGCCAACTTTCTTCTTGCCTCAGGGAGAGAGCCTGGCATGCCCCCATCTCTCTGTCTGTCTCTCTCTTTTTTTAAACCCAACTTAAAAGCAGTGCTTTTTTCTTTGAAGAAAATAAAACGTCATGTGCTAATGTTGTATATATTGCTTCCTGGGCAGTAGGAGGGAGGGGTATATGTGGAACTGGTGGAGCGGGGAGTTGGGAGTGAAGACTGAGAACATTATTATGAGGTAATAATGTTACAGAGTAAATTGTCAGAGCCTGGGCAGAATTGTCTTATTAGGACATGATCCATAGTGGAAATACTATTGGGAGACAGACCATTGTAGTAGGCATTGTAGTAACCAGGTAAATGGCTTATTTAGGGTTCAGTTAATAATGACCTGGGGGCCATTTATCTGTAAAATGTCCTGTTTTCTGTAACCATTTTGAAAAGCATTGTCCAATAGAAGTTTCTGTGGTGATGGAGATGTTCTATATCTGCTGTGTAATATTATAGCCACTACCCACATGTGGCTGTCGAATATTTGGAATAAGACTAGGATGGCCGAAGAGCTGAATTTTTAATTTTATTTAAGTAGCTATATGTGGCTACCATATCAGATGGCACAGATTTAGAAGCATAAGTTCTAACACTTCAGTTAGAAATAATAGAGAATGTTTTTCCTGACCAGTCTTGACTTTGGATTCTTTTCCTCTTATTCTGTCATGGAAAAAAAAAAATTTTTGGTTACTAGAAATAGGTCTGTTTTGAATTGAAAACTTCTCAAAGGTGGAAGGCATCATTTAGGATTACATAAAATTCTGGAAAGTTTTGTGCTGTCTGCTTCCATCTAGTAATTGTTATTTCCATTGACTACAGCTACAGCTTCTATTTTGTCATAGGTTTTTTTTTTTTTTTTGCGGTACGCGGGCCTCTCACTGTTGTGGCCTCTCCTGTTGCGGAGCACAGGCTCCGGACGTGCAGGCTCAGCGGCCATGGCTTACGGGCCCAGCCGCTCCGCGGCATGTGGGATCTTCCCGGACCGGGGCACGAACCCATGTCCCCTGCATCGGCAGGCGGACTCTCAACCACTGCGCCACCAGGGAAGCCCAGGTTTTTTTGTGTGTGTTTGTTTTTTTTAAAATCGTTTTCCTTCTCTGCATTCTGGGATATACCTTGTGCCATTGATATTTAATCCTGCCTTTTATATTTGCTGAAGAATCTGTTCAGACTGATGACTTGAGTTTGTGGCCTCCTTTATTTTCTTGTGTTCCTTTTATGGAATATCCTTACTCTGGTTAAAAATTTGTTTGCCCTTTCATTTATGCAAAATGTTCTTTCTGCAATTTTTTCAGTGACCCTCATTTGCCAGTAAGCCTTCTATGTTTATTTCTTTATGTACTATCTTTCATATAAAGTTACTCAACAGGCAGCAGATTAATTTACTAAAGTCCTAATTGCCTTTCTTTTTTCACTTAAAAGAAGTGGGTTTAGTAAAATCCAGGCTAGCTAGTTGGCTAGCTCCCCAGGCAGTCTCTGATAATCACAAAAAATAGTCAATTTATTAGGCTGTTTGCTGAATACACTGGTTCTAAAGGAGGCAGGGGTCAAGTCACTTGTCTCATATGTTACAGTGGCTCTGCATCCCCGAAACGCCTTCCTTCAGTAAGCAGAGTGCTTGAGTGCACCCCCTTTGACCTGCTGATATGTAGATCACAACATCTGATGCTTCCTGGGATTGCCGATTACTGTAACTGCTGCCCATCTGTCAATGAAGGAGCAGTTTCAGAACTCAGACTTGGGGGAGGAAAAGTAATTAATGGTATGTACCTTTAAGAACTCCCTCATACATAAAATAGTTTCTCTAATACTTTGGTCCATATACACATGTGAAGAAAAAAAAAAAAACATTTAGAAGGGTCTTTATAGTTGTTGGGAGGGGTATGTACAACATGGCAAAGTAAAAAGACAACTAGAGATAAATGCTCCAGATTTTTTAAAGTGTCATTTCAGTGCAGGACGACTCTGGAAATTATAACATGCACAGCTTTTCAGGACCCTTTTCTTTGGTGAAAATGTATTTCCTTATGAAAATATAGTGGGGAGATGTTTTATCCCAAGACAAGTAGAGTTCTAAATCTTGAGACCTACAAACACAGGCTTTATGTTTGTGCTTTAGTAGTTAAATAATCCCTAGTTAAATGGAATTATTTAATGATAGGGATTGTATGGGCTCTTGAGTCAGGCTTATTGGATTACATTCTTGGCCCTAAAAGTGGTTAATTAAAAACAAGACTGGATAATTTACTCTCCTTCTTTGTGTAGTACATGATCGATTTATTTGGAAGTTCTTTGCTTATTTGCAAAAGTTATTTGCAAAAGATTGTCTTATTAAAAAAGTATTTGAATGGATATTTGGCACCTAATAAAACTTTCATTAAAGATGTTAGTCTGCTGAATTTTTAACTTAAATCTGAGTCTTCTAGTTTTTTCATTCATAAAATTTTTTAATTAATAAAACTGATCATTCTTCAAGGGCTTTAATAATCCTTTTTTTTAAGGTTCAAATATAAGTTTTTAAGAAATAGCCAGGAAGATTTAAAATCTTTAGGAGAGAAGTAACATTAAACTTTCTTGTCTGTTGAACCAGAGCTACTATTATAAAACCTCAATGGGAACCAGAAGAAACTCAATACAGAGTGTAACTTTGCTAATTTTTTTCCCCGAACATAATAATGTGATGTTTAAGGTATTTTATTTGCAACAGCAGAGGAACAGGTATGCAAGTTCTTAAAATAAATCAGATAAAGTGATGCATAATATGAGTCTTCATCAGAGTAAAAATATAGCAGATTGGTAGCAGAATCTATCAATTTGTTCTGTTTCTTAAGTTTTTTAACCAACCCTACTAAACACCTTTAAAGTCAGTAAGTGTAAGCCTGAGTTAGAAAATATATTTGCCACACAGAAAGGTTTTGCCTACCTGTGTGTGTTACATTTATTTTTTTCTTTTAAACGAAGCTGTGCTAATGTGCTTAACATTAAGGTATTGGGATATTTTAAATCTGACTTGGTAATTTGCTTACCCAAATGGGATAGGTTTTTTAATAAATGAATAGAGAAACTACTGTTTTTTAAATATATCTACAGTACTTTGGTAGAAATATGTATGAGCAGGAACATTTTTATTACTAATAAGGCTGCTTCAAGTGTTTGGGGGTTTTTGAGGGGGAGCTCACCTGTTGGCAGGCAGTTAATACGACTGCCAAGCAGTGCCCTGTAAAAAGTGCAGTTGCGCGACGTACACATGACAGTGATGTGAGAGAAAAGTGATCTTGAATCTAGGTCAGTACCTTACAGTTGACTGATTCTCATCTTTAGAGAGGTCTATTCAGCTAAAATAGGTGCTTATAAATAATGTACAGTGTAAATTCAAGTCTACCCTATTTCTGTTAGTATTTGAGGTTAATTAAATTGAAAGGCAACTGCCTGGGTTTAAATCCCAGCACCAGTGTATAAAATACTGTATCTCAGTTTCTACATGGGGGTAATCACAGTATCTACATCATAGTATTGTTATGAACTGCAAATAAATATGTGTAGAATGCTTAATGAGTGCTATGTGGTATGAGAGCTTTTATCAAAAACTGAAAGAACTTTCTTGTCGAAAGTAGTTGACAATGTGAGTTATAAAAATAATGTTAATGTTTTCTGCTTTTTTTTTTAGGAAGTTATAGAACTAACCAAAGACCTTCTGTCAACTCAACCTTCTGAAACGCTGGCAAGTTCAGACAATTTTGCTTCTACTCAGCCCACTCATTCCTGGAAAGTAGGAGACAAGTGTATGGCAATCTGGAGTGAAGATGGACAGTAAGTGTAGAAAAAAACTGTAACTATAACATGAAATAGTAAAGTACAATGGTAAGGTGATTTTATTCAGCTTGAACTACCCTATTTTAATCTTTCTATAATAGCCAGTATGACTTATAGAACGAATTTGATTCTTGGGTGGTTACCATTAATACAGTTTAATTTTTAACTTTAGGTTAAGTTTTAGGGCAGAAGAATGGCTTGGATCCTAGAGGAAATAAACATGAAAGTAGAGGAAAATGAATGGATATTAAAAAAAAATAGTCTAAATTCTTTTTTCCTTGAATTGAAAATTGAGTAATGGTTGGATATCTTAGACTTTTGTGAAGCACATATACTGAAATTATTCCTATAAGAAGTATCTTTTCTCAAAAGAGATTGACTAAAGCACATATAGTAGACATGTAAGACACTTCCTTGGCAATATTTTGGTTAGGACTTCCTTTTTTAAAAGCAGATGGCTAACTCCAGCCACTGTTATCTTTGCCAAAGGAACATTTGATTATAGGAGTGTCATTTTAGACACATTGAATAGTTGAATCACTGCAGTATAAGTCTTGTAGGCTGAGTGCTAAACCTTTACTCACCTGCTTACAGCCATGATATCTTTACAGGTGTTATGAAGCGGAGATTGAGGAGATAGATGAAGAAAACGGCACCGCTGCCATCACTTTTGC